TAGAGTTCTTTTTTTTTTCCCCAGTTCAATTTTTTTTTTTTTATTATACTTTAAGTTCTAGGGTACATGTGCATAACGTGCGATTTGTTACGTATGTATACTTGTGTGCCATGTTGGGCTGTTTGCACCCATCAACTCGTCATGCACCCATCTCACTTCGTCATTTATCATCAGGTATACACTCCCCAATGCAATCTCCCCCCACCCCAAGAGACAGGCCCGGTGTGGATGATTCCCTTCCCGAGGTCCAAGTGGAATCTCAGGTTGGTTCATTCCACCTATGAGTTGAGATCATGCGGTGTTTTGGTTTTCTGTTCTTGCGATAGTTTGCTGGAGACTGGTGGTTCCAGTTTGCTCCAATGTCCCTATCAAAGGAATCAAACTCATCCTTTTTTTATGGGCTGGCATTGTATTTCCATGGTGTATCATGTGCCACCTTTCTTAATTCCATCTGGTCACTGGATGGACCTTTTGGGTTGATTCCAGATCTTTTGTATTCGTGAATAGTTGCGCAAGTAAACATATTGTGCATGTGTCTTAGAGGCAGCCATGTTTATAATCTTTGGGTATCATACCCAGGTAATGGGATGGGTGTCATATGGTATTCTAGTCTTAGATCCTTTGAGGAATCGGCCATACGGTGTTTTTCCATAAATGGTTGAATTCTAAGTTTCGAATCCCACCCAAACAGGTGTAAAAGTCGTATTTCTCACCATTCCTCTCAGCACCTGTTGTTTCTGACTTTTTAATGAGTTGCAAATTTTCTCAAAACTATTCTTTCTTACCTATGACAAAGTCCACCACTTAATCATGATGCATAGCAATCTGAAGAGGTAAAGCCTAGCTATGCTGTCTAAAATAATAGCTACTAATCACATGTGGCTATAAAAGTTTAAATTAAAATTAAATTAAATTTAGAATTGTTACCCAGATACACTATCCACATTTCAAGTATTCAGTAGCCACATGTCATTAGTGACCACAGTCTCGGGCAGCACAGAAGCTCATTTCCAACATCTCAGAACATTCTACAGACAGAATTGCAGAGCCTTCCTAGAAAGTTCTTCTCTTTACTTGGAAGAGAGAAAGTGAGTCTTGAACAAATCCTGTTGGATGTAAAAAATATATTTGTTTCTGTGTAATTGTTGCCAGCCCTCAGGATACATCCCCACCCTGGAAACTACTGTGTTACTGTCAGTTATTCCCTTCTCTTTGTCTTTCATTTCAAATTTATCTGCTTGGACTGCCCAGTCCCACTTCTTTGAGTTTTACATCTCAAAAACTTTACCACTATCCTTGGGCCAGGCTCAGACCTGCCTCCCAGATTTACCTACACTTTCTATCAGATCAGCCTGGTTCTTGTTATATTTTCTCATCACAACAATACATTTTTACATTTTGAAAGGTTCTTCCTATGGAACTCAGTACACACCCATCCAGAGAAAAACGTAGAAAGCAGACTTTTCTTTAGAGAAATAGAAGTAAGCCATTTCAGATCAAGTATTTTTCAGAGTTCTCTCCTCTTCATCAACTGTATCTACCCCAAATATCAAGTGAATACTTAGCCATAATATCTCAACCTAATGAGAAATAAATTGATGATTACATGAAAGTCAAACTTTTCCCTTAAGTTTCTTCACCTTGATATAAAGAAATAGAACTAAATTTCAGATTGTGTTCTTCTGGGCAAAGGTTTCTCTTATTCAAATATACCTTTTGAAGCCA